CTAAGTTAAGACGATGGGGAGGGCCAAGGCATATGGAGTTTGTGGGACAAAGTACCACAAAGGAGAGGGCTGCATACGTGAGAACTTCAGAGATCTGCAAAGGGTCGCTCTCAAATATTCATCTGAGTATTGATGAGTCCATGTATGTGAAGAAACTGCCATAGTGTGGAAAAAGAATCATCAAAAAGATTAGAGAGAAAAATTCTGTGAGTTGGAGCCCAGTAAAGAAGCTGTGACTAGCCAAGAAGTGGCAGAGACCAGTGCAAAGAGCTGTCCGAGGTCCTGATTGAGAACTATGAGAGCCACACTGGTTGCAAGTGTTTTTGCTCCCAGAGCTGTCCTGTGCCAGAGCAGTCCTGAGTGCCATGGGGAGGGACATGCCCTCTGCTTTGGGAACATTTCCACACTTCGTGTTCCTCTTCCTGATGTTGCCTGTTCCTTCTAGTTGTATCCTGTTCTGGTTATATCTTGTTACTTCTGCAAGGTCATAGCCTTGAAAACCATACGGAGCTGCCATGAGTCAAAATCGACTTGATAACAACTAACAACAACAACCCTAATAAACCACTTAACCATAAGTAATGGCCATGAGCTCTGCGAAACATTAAGCAAATTATCGAACCCAGAAAAGTAAGAGAGTGTTGTGGAAGGAATGGCTGGTGTCAGAAATAACAGAGAAATTGGAAAGTGGATATATCTGACCTCTGACTCACAATCAACTTAATGCTGATTCTTATTATCAAAGTTACCTTCCACAGATACAGCACAATTTCTACTAAAATTCCAATAGCCTTTTTTGCAGAAGTGGAAAAGCCAATCTTCAAATTCATATGGAATCGCATGAGGTCCGAAATAGCCGAAACAATCTCAGGGGGTGGAGGGAGGACAAAGTGTAAGAGGAGCACACTTCCTGATTTCAAAATGTATTACAAAGCTACAGTAATTAAAAAGTGTGGTACTTGTGTAAGAATAGATCTAGATGAATGGAATAGACTTGTGAATCAAGAAATAAGCCCATACATCTATGGTCAATTGATTTCCGATAAGTATGCCAAATCCATTCAATGGGAAAGAATAGTCTCTCTTCAACAAAATACTGCTGGGACAATTGGATCTCCACTTGCACAAGAATGAGGTTGGACCCATACCTTACACCATATAAAAAAATTAATTCAAAACAGATCCATGACCTAACTTTAAGAGCTAAAATCATAAAACTCTTAGAAAACACAGGGGTAAAGTTTCAGGACCTTCTGTTATGCAGCAGAGTTTTAGATATGATGCCAAAGGCATGAGCAACAAGAAAAAAAATAAACATCAAAATTTAATTTTTGTGGATCAAGGGACATCTTCAAAAAAGAAAAAAGACAACCAACAGAATGGGAGAAAATATTTGGAAAACGTAGATCAGATATGGATTTAATACCTAGAATATATAAAGAACTCCTACAACTCAACAAAAAAAAAGACTAATAACCTAAGTTAACAAATGAAAAAAGGACTGAATAAACATTTCTCTAAAGAAAATATACGAATGGCCAATAAGCACATGAAAAAAATGCTCACTATCATTAGTCATTAGGGAAATGCAAATCAAAACCATAATGACATAGCATTTCACACCAACTATTATAAAAATGGAAACCCTGGTGGCATAGTGGTTAAGAGCTACGGCTGCTAACCAAAAGGCTGGCAGTTTGAATCCACCAGGTGCTCCTTGGAAACTGTATGGGGCAGTTCTACTCTGTCCTATAAGGTTGCTATGAATCAGAATCGACTCGACTACAATGGGTTTGGTTTTTTTTTTCATAAGTGAATGAATGAATGAATAAATAAATATATATAAAACAAGTGTTGATGAGGATATAGAGCAATTGGAACACTCCTATACTGCTGGTGGGAATGGAAAATGGTGCAGCTGCTGTGGAAAAGTTTGGTGGTTCCTAAACAAGTTAAACATAGAATTACTGTATGCCCCAGCAATTCCACTTCTAGGTATACACAATTAACTTCTAGGTAAAACAACTGAAAGCAGCGACTCAGACACATGCACACCAATGTTCACTGCAGCATTAATCACAATAGTCAAAAGGTGAAAACAACCGGTATGCCCATCAACAAATGAACGAATAAACAAAATGTGATACACGAATACAGACACACAATGGAGTATTATTCAGCCATAAAGAGAAATGAAGTTTTGATATATGTCACCACATGGATGAACCTTGAAAACATCATGCTCAGTGAAATAAGTCAGATACGATAGAACATATATTGTATGATCTGACTATATGAAATATCTAGACTAGGCAAATACATACAGATCAAAGTACATTAGTGGTACCAGGGGCAAAGAGGAAAAGGAAATGGGGCATGAAAAACAAAGAAAAAACCACAGTTCTTTGGAATAAATGAATAAGTCCACAGAATCCTATATGAATACACTACATTATACTGTAGATATATATATAAGTCATGGGCAAAAAAAAAAAAAAAAGCTATTTTTCATAGGAAGACAAAAATATCCCCAAATCACAATGTCTAACATCAATTAAAAAATAAACAAGGGTACAAAACACAGGAAAATATAATCCACAATAAGAAGAAAAATCAGTTACTCAAAACAGACATAGAATGACAAAAATAGTAAAAGTAGAAGAAACTAAAACAGAAAAATGTATTCCGTATGTCTCAGAAGCAACAGGAAAGACTGAGCATTAAGTAGGGGTATGGGGAACATAAAGACCCTAATCTAACTAAAAGATAAAAACTATAAATTATGAGATGAAATACATTAGATGAGATTAAACCCACTGCCTTTGAGTCAATTCTGACTCATAGTGACCCTATGGGACAGAGAACTTCCCCACAGGTTTTCCAAGGTTGTAAATCTTTACAGAAGCAGACTGCCACACCTTTCTCATGCGGAGCGGCTGGTGGGTTTAGATCGCTGACCTTTTGGTTAGCAGCCAAGTACTTTAACCACTGCACCACCAGGGCTCCTTAGAGGAGATTAAGGACAGATTAAACATTTCAGAAAGTTAGGAAACTGGAAGATGTAGCAATAGAAAAAACTAAAGACAGAAAAGACCAAAATAAATAAATAATCAGTCATTGTGAGACAACTTCTAAGGGACGAATGAGCATATAACTGAAGGCCCTAAAGAGGTAGAGGAACAGAAAATTATCTGAAAAACAATGGCTGAAATATTTTCAAATTTGATGGAAACTGTAAGCCCACAGATCCAAGAAGTCCAATGAACACAAGTAAATTTCGCCAAAGCACATCGTAATCAAATTGCTTAAACCAGTGATAAACAGAAAATCTTAAATGCAAACAGAAGGGGAAAAAAAGGACATTTTATGTACAAAGGAAAAAACATAAGGATGACAGTAGATCACTTGCTGGTAAAAATGCTAGCCAGAAGACAACAGAACATCTTAAAGTGTTTAAAAACAAAAGCAAAAACTGTCAAACTGGAAAATGTATTTCAAAAGCAAAGCTGAAATAAAGACAATTTCAGATACACAATGACTGAAAAAATTCGGCACAGCAGACCTTTATTATAGAAAATATTACTTTTCTTCCTTTACTCAGAAGTAAAAAAGATGTGTGATAAAAATGCCAAAAAAAAAAAAAAAAATGAACAGCACTGAAAATAGTAGCTATGTGGGTAAATGTGAAGATTTTGTTTCTTAGCTCTATTTGTTCATCTGGCCCTGCTACCATAGTCCACCTTATCACTTGCCATTCTCTTCATCATACTACACTTGCCTTGAGCCGATTTCTCCAAAAGACCAAGCTCTTGCCATCCTTGGGGTCTTGGCATATGAGGTTCTCTTTTCCTGGATTGTTTTGAACCTGGCTTGGCTCCTGAATCCTTGTTGGGTCTGAATATCACCTCATTTACTGCTCGTTCATCGTCCTGTGCTTTAAGGTTTAATGACCATCTTCCCACTCTTACAGGCAAGAACACTGAGACCCAGGAAGACGTGACATGGTCAAGGTCACCCAGCTCTTTATGTAAACAGTACAGATGGCCTGAAATCCTAACCCATTACCAGAGTCCAGGCTTTAACCACCAGGTCAACTACGAGTATAACCATCGCTACAGTACAGACAACCCTCCTGAGGAAGGCAACACTTTCCCACTGACAGAAAACATTCTGGTCTGCTTGTTAAAATTTCAGTCATTTTATAATAACTCTTCCCACAGTCTTTTATAAGGTTAAACAATGAGAGTCCTTCTCCAAGTCTGTTTTTCCAAAATTTTCAAGAGTTAAGCTTGGCAGTTTCATTTGCTTGTTTTACCTTCAATTTAACCTCTTAAAAAACTGTGACGTTGATGTGGAGAAGTCCCCTCTACAGAGGATTAAAGAAGTTTAACAAATCCTACTCACAAGAATGAATCTGGATTCAGAGGGTAAGGTCACACAGCTACAAGAGCATTCCCAACCCACAGAGAAAATAAAAAAAAAACAACAACAAGTAGACCAGAATCAAGAAAAAGAGACTACTGGGCATTCAAAACCTCATGAAGGAGTTTTTGTTTTGTTTTAATCAAAGATTTAAAGACACTTAAGTGTACAGTAAAATGTGCCCATTTTATTGTAGTTTCTTCTCTCCTTAGAAATGAAAGAATATATCTTAGTTATCTAGTGCTGCTGTAACAGAAGTACAAGTTGGTGGCTTTAACAAATAGAAATTTATTTTCTCACAGTCAGGAGGCTAGAAGTTTGAATTCAGGGTACCGATTCTAGGGGAAGACTCTCTCTCTGTTGGCTCTGGAGGAAGGTCCTTGTTTCTTCAGCTCCTATTACTTGGTCCTTGGTGATCTTCATGTGGCATGGCATCTATCTTCCCTTATCTCTGCTTTCTTAATCTGTTCCTTTTATATCTCAAGACAGGCTGACTTAAGACCCATCCTACACTAATACTGCCTCATTAACAAACAAAACCCATTCCCAAATAACCACAGGTATAAGGATTAGGATTTAGAACACATATTTTAAGGGGACACAACTCAATCCATAACATATAGTGGCATTTTAGTATTCTAAATTCTTACAAGTTTCAAACATTTCATGACTAAAATGTCCATATACATATATGTATAACAAAGACTTAGGCTTCACAAGAGTAGACAATGTTTTAGAACAAAGAACACTTTTAATAAATGTTTGCAGAGCTGTCCTTAACATTCCAACTCTCCAACACTGGACAGCAATGAAGGTATACAAAAAAACACATAATGGGGATAAGGCTTTTTTGCCTCTCATACCCCTACCGCCTTCCAAAAAATAATAATAATGATAATGACAAACTGTCATAAGCTTAGCAGGGAAGTTTGAAAGAAGCCACACATACATTTCTTTTACAATTCTATACTTCTTATCTACCTCCTTCTTGTTCTTTTAAAATATTCTTGATATTGATTTGTAGTATAAATAGAGTTGTCTCTGAGGTTTTTCCTAAATGCACAATAATCACTAGGTCTCTCTCCAGGATGATTCTCAGGTATTGTGTAAGGCTCTAGGCTGGGTCAATTTCTAATATGACTCTTTAGATGCCTGTCATAGATGTGATGACCTGTCATAAACGGCCTTCTCACAGAGACAACACTTATGTTTCTCTTCAGTGTAAATTCTCACATGCCAAGTGAGATATTCCTCTGGGGAACAGATTTACCTCAAGGTACATTAAAAAGGTATTTCACCAGTATGAGTTCACTAAAATTGCCTGAAGTGCGCCCATTTTCCTTCCTACCTACTTTAAAAGGCCTTTTAAACCCTGGCATGAATCTTTTGATGGTGTATGAAGGATGAACTATGGCTAAAGGCCTTTCCACATTCACTACATTCAAAGGGCTTCTCACCAGTGTGACTTCTCATGTGTTGAGTTAAGGCAAAGTTATCACAAAATGCCTTCTCACATTTTTTGCACTCAAAAGGTTTTTCTCCAGTGTGGATCCTACTATGGCGGACAAAATTTGCTGGTTGGGTAAATGTCTTTCCACATTCATTGCAAACATACGGCCTCTCTCCAGAGTGAATCCTCATGTGTCGAGTGAAAGAAGAACTATAGTAAAAGGCTTTTCCACATTCTTTGCACTCCAGTGATTTTTCTCCACTGTGGGTCCTATTATGTCGGATAAAAACAGAATGGTGGGTAAAGGCCTTTCCACATACACTACACTTATAGGGCTTCTCACCAGTGTGAATCCTTGTGTGCTGAATTAAGGAAGAGCTGTCACAAAAGGCCTTCCCACATTCTTTGCACTCAAAGGGCTTCTCTCCAGTATGCGTCCTATTATGCCGGATAAAAGTGGAACGATGAGTAAAGGCCTTTCCACATTCACTGCACCCATAGGGTTTCTCTCCAGTGTGAATCCTCATGTGCTGAGTGAAGGAGGAGCTGAGGCAAAAAGCTTTCCCGCATTCTTTACATAAAAAGGGTTTTTCTCCCATGTGGATCATATTATGCTGGATAAAAGTGGAGCGATGAGTAAAGGTCTTTCCACATTCACTGCACTCATAGAGTTTCTTTCCAGTGTGAATCCTCATGTGTTGAGCAAAGGAAGAGCTATAGTGAAAAGCTTTCCCACATTCTTTGCACAAAAAGGGTTTTTCTCCACTGTGGGTCATATTATGCTGTATAAAAGAGGAGCGGTGGGTAAAAGCTTTACCACATTCTTTGCACTCATAGGGCTTCTCTCCAGTGTGAACACGCTGGTGCTCTGTGAGGTGAGATCTGCGTTTGAAGGCCTTGCCACACTCAATACACTTGTATGGTTTTTCCCCAGTATGAAACCTCATATGTCGAATGAAGTCTGCCATGTAGTGACAGGCTTTGCCACACTCATTACATTCATAGGGCTTCACTCCAGCATGAATCTTTTGATGTCGAACAAGGGTCCAATTCTTGCTAAATCCTTTTCCACATTCCTTGCAATTATAGGGGTTCTTCCCTGCTTCAGTCATGGAATCTTTTCCTGGTCCATGTGAGTCTTGTTCATGGAGAGCATCTTCTGGAGTGACTCGCTCCTGTAGCATCCTTATACACAGACTATCATCTGTCCCTAAATCAGGGCTCAACTTCCTGGGGCAGGTCTCCTTGTGGGGGTATGTTCCTGGCCTCATGTTCCCTTCCTGCTTTTCTGATGGCCCTTCCTGATCCCTGGCTTGCTCCAACCTGAAATCCTTTGAGGCTCCCTGTGTCACTTGTTCCTGAAAGGAGGTTTCATCAGAGGTTGGCAGAGAAGCAGTAGGCTCAGTGGTCTTCGGTTTTGCTTTTTCACCTGAAGGAAATCCAGTACAAAAAAGGGGCCTATTAGTGATGCCAACACGGAATAAACAAAATCACCACTTCAGCAGAAGAACAGAGATAAAAACAGTGCCTTTGATACCTACTGCATCAATAACAGGTGTACCTACACAGGGAGTCTGGTGTTAAAGCAAAGAACTACAACCTCCAATAATTTAAAATAATAATAATAAAAATAACAATGATAAAAATAAAGAAGGGCAAACCTTAGAGGAAGAGAAGAATCTAATATCCAGAATTACCACAGTATAATAGCTAAATATCACAGTTTCAACAAATAGTCACAAGGCATACGAAAAAGAAGTAAAGCTGGCCCATGCAAAAGACCAAAATAAGGGGACAGAAACTTCTTCTCTGAGGAAGAACAGATAATTGAATTACTGGACAGGACTTTAAAGCAACAGTATTCAGCTTGCTCAAACAGTTAAGGGAAAATACAGAAAAAGAACTACAGGAAATTAGGAAAACGATGTAAGAACAAAACAAGATCTCTAATAAAGAGAACAGAATCTTAAAAAAGAACCAAACAGACTGAAGCTGAAAAGTACAATCACAGATACGAAAAAATTCACTAGAGAGGTTCAACAGTAGATTTAAGGTGGCAGAAGAAAGAATCAGCAACCTTGAAAATAGGACAATTGAGATTATTGAGTCTGAGGATCAAAAAGAAAAAAGAATGAAAATAAATGAACAAAGCCTAAAGGACCTGTGGGATATTATCAAGCAGACTACTATTCACATTATGGGAGCCTCAGAAGGAAAATAGAGAAAGGAGCAGAAAGAATATTTGAAGAAATAATGTCTGAAACATTCCAAATTTGATGAAAGACATGAACTTACACATCTAAAAAGCTCAATGAACTCCAAGTAGGATTAATCCAAAAACAGCCACACCAAGACAGATTATAATCAAACTCTATAAAATCAGGGGTAAGAAAGAATTTTGAAAGCAGCAAAAGCAAAGTATCACACACAAGAGTTCCTCAATTAAATTAAGTGCCAATTTTTCCTCAGAAACCATGCAGGCAAGAAGGCAGTGAGATAATATGTTTAAAGTACTGAAATAAGAGAACTGTCAGCCAACAATACTATATCCAGCAAAACTGTTATACAAAGATGAGGGCAAAATTAAGACTTACTCATTGTCACTGAGTTGACTCCGACTCATAGTGACCCTATAGTAGAGAGCAGAACTGCCCCATAGGGTTTCCAAGGAGTGCCTGGTGGATTTGAACTGCTGACCTCTTGGTTAGCAGCCATAGCTCTTAACCACTGTGCCACCAGGGCTCCAAAATTAAGACAGTTCCAGATAAACAAAAGCTGAGGGAATTTGTTATCACCAGATCAGTCCTACAAGAAATGCTAAAGGAGTCCTCCAGAAAGAAAATTAAAAGACACTAGACAGTAACTTGAAGTCGTACATACAGGGGGAAAAAAATTAAAAGTAATTTCTTGAAAAGTATAAGAGCCAGATTTAAGGTATTTTTGGCTGGCAAATACAGCTGGTATGTCCTTCATGCTTTATAATGACAAAAGCATTGAAAAAAATTTTAAGTTACAGGGCATTTTAGGAATAAAGATGTAATTTGTGATAACAACATAAATGAGGGGGGAAGATTAGTAGAGGTATAGTTTTTGTATGTTACTGAAGTTAAGTTGTTATAAACCAAGTTGTTATAAATGTTAAGATGTTAAACGTAATCCTCATGGCCATCACAGAGAAAGTAAATAAAAAATACACACAAAAGGAAAAGAGATAAAAACAAAATACTTCAGTACAAAAAAACTCCACTTCACACAAAAGAAGACAGCACTGGTGGAAAAAAGGGACAAAGAAAGTATAAAACACAATAGACTTTAAGTAAAAATATATCATAAGAGACAAAGGAGGACACCATACAATGATGAAAGAGCCAATTCATCAAGAAGATATAACAATTATAATTATATATGCACCTAACCTCGAAGCCCCAAAATACATAGAACAAACACTGACAGAATTGAAGGGAGAAATGGACAGGTCTACAATAATAGTAGGAGACTTTAATATACCACTTTTGATACTGGTAGAACAACTAGAAAGAAACAGTAGACCTGAACACCACTATTAACCAACTAGATCTAACAGGCATATACAGAACACTCCACCCAACATGAGGACAGGATATATTGATCTCCAGTATACATGGATCATTCTCAAGGAAAGACCATTTCTTAGGACACAAAGCAGCAGGACAGATCATATCTTAAGATACAAAACAAGCTGCAATAAATTTAAAAAGATTGAAATCATACAAAGTATCTTTCCAATCACAATGGAATGAAACTAGAAATTAACAGAAATAAAACTTGAAATAAACAAATAAAGAGAAATTAAATAACACACTACTAATCAACAGGCCAAAGAAGAAACCAAGAGAGAAATAAAAAAAATAGAGTCAAAAGAAAATGAAAATATAACATACCAAAACCTATAGGATGCAGCAAAAGCAGTACTCAGAGGAAAATTTATAGCAATAAACATCTACATTAAAAAAGAAGAAAGATCCCAAATCAATAGCCCAACTGTACAACTTGAGGAACTAGGGAAGGAAAAGCAAACTAAGCCCAAAGCTACCAGATAAAGGAAATAACAAAGGTCAGAATAGAAATAAATGAAATAGAAAAAAAAAAAAAAGTATAAACCAGAAGTTGGTTTTTTGAAAAATCTATAAATTCAACAAACCTTTAGCTAGACTGATGTAGAAAAAGAGAGAGAAGATGCAATACCTAAAATTAGAAATGAAAGTGGGGACGTTAAAATTTACCCTACAGAAATAAAAGAAATATAAGGGAATACTATAAATAGTTGTATGCCAACAAACTAGATAACTTAGAGGAAAGGGACAAATTCCTAGAAATATAAACTCACTACATTGACTCAAGAAGAAAGAGAGGATCTCAAAAGACACATAACAAGTAAAGAGATTGTATAGTAATAAAAAGCCACCGAACAAAGTAAAGTCCTGGACCAAATAGCTTCACTTGGGAATTCTACCAAACATTTAAAGAAGAAATAACTCCAATCTTATTTAAACTTTTCCAAAAAACAGAAGAGGAGGGAATTCTTCCTAATTCATTCTATGAGGCAGGCATTACCCCGAAACCAAAAAGAAAAAAAGAAAACTACAGATCAATACCCTTATGAATACAGACATAAAAATCCTTGACAAAATACTAGCAAACCAAATCTAAAAACACATTAAAAGGATTATACATGATCAAGTGCATAATTCCATGATCAAGTGGAATTTATCTCAGGACTACAAGGGTGGTTCAACATTAGACTATCATTCAATGTAATACATATTAACAGAACAAGGAAAAGAACCACACAATCACCTCAATCGATGCAGAAAAGGCATTTGACAACATTCAACACCCTTATGTGTCACGATAAAAACACTCAGCAAGATATGAATAGAAGGGAAAGTCCTCAATATAATAAAGGGCATTTATGAAAAACTCACAGCTAACATCAACTCAACAGAGAAAGACTGACAGCTTTCCCATAAACATCAGGAACAAGGCAAGGATACCCACTCTCACCACTGCTATTTAACACTGTACTAGAAGTCTCAGCTAGAGCAATTAGGCAAGGGACAAAAAAAAAAGAATCCCAATTAGGAAGGAAGAAGTAAAACTATCCTTTTTCACAGATGACATGATTCCATATATAGCAAACCCCAAAGATTCCACAAAAATGCTAACAGAGCTAATGAATTCAGCAAAGTAACAGGGTACAAGGTCAACACACAAAAATCAGCTGGATTTGTATACAACAGCAATGAGCAAGCTGAAAGGAAATTAAGGAAACAATACCATTTATAATAGCATCTAAAAGAATAAAATACCTAGGAATTCATTTAACTAAGAAGGTTAAAGACTTGTACAAGGAAAACTATAAAACATTACTAAAAAAAATTAAAGAAGACCTAAATAAATAGACGGACATTCTGTGTTCATGGACTGGAAGACTTAATATAGTTAAGATGTCAATACTACCCAAAGTGATCTATCACACAGCTAAAGCAATCTTGAAGAAGAAAGTAGGAGGACTCACACTTCCTGATTTTAAAACATTCCATAAATCTACAGTAATCAAAACAGTCTATGATGATAGACATATAGACCAATAGAACAGAATTGAGAGTCCAGAAATAAACCCATATTATCTATGGTCAGTTGATTTTTGACAAGAGTGCTTGGCAAAGGTGTTAAGTCCATTCATTGGAAAAAGAAGAGTTGCTTTAATAAATGGTGCTGGAAAAAATGGATTTCCACGTGCAGAAGAATGAAGCAGGATTCATACCTCACACCATATACAAAAACCACTTCAAAATGGATCAAGCATCTAAATGTGAAAACTAAAATCATAGAACTCTTAGAAGAAAACACAGGAGTATGATTACAGAAATAGTTTTTAATGATGGATTATCTGATACAACATCAAAATTACAATCAGCAGAATACACGATATATAAAAAACTTCTACAATTTAACAAAAGACAAACAACCCAATGACGCAGAAACTAATATCACTATATTTTTCAAGTGAAGGCTAAGTGTAGCAGACTGAGTAGATGTTGGCCATACCAATGGGCTCTTCTCTTTGGCACAAACCTAAACCACATTTCCCAGCCTGGTATAGTCATGTGGCCTAGTGCCCAGTTCTTGAAAACCAAACGTGAATGGAAGCAACATGTGTGTGCCAGCCGGATGTGACTACTCCCCTTTTTGTCCACTCCTCTTGGCTAGCTAATGATGCCAGGGCAAACTTAAAGCCACATACTGATGAGAGAATGCACCTGGATCCCTGAATTAATGTGTGGTACAGAGGTCCTCTGCTGACCCACATTAGACCATGGCATGATTTAGGAAAACTCTTATAACCTGTTGAGCTACCAAGATTTTGGAGTTTATCTGGTAAGGCAGGTAGCATTAACTCAGCTTAACCTTTATACAAAAGACACAGCAAGATTATGTTACTTCTCCAGGGTCACAACACTGATGAGTGGTAACGCCAATTTGAAGACCAAGCATTTAGAGCCCAGAGCCTTCTCTTACAGGCTCTTAATATACCACATTCCAACCCCAGTAAAGGTAACACGTGTGCTGAGGGTAGGAAGACAGGGAGGCCACAGCTCAAAGGGCTCCATAATCACTCAAGACCCCAGGAAGGCCACAGAAAGAAGTTGCCCATGGGATTCTAGACATGGTGATTTTCTGGTGGCCTGTAAGCTGCCAGGACATCCCCCTGCCAGACTCTTGGCCACCCACCTGGAGAGATGCTTTGAGAAAGGCCTCTCTTCATTGTCCATAGTTCCTGCCTGTGCTCTAGTAGGAAGATCAGCTCTGGTTTGGGAACAGGATGCCCTGTTCATGGAGAAATAAATTGTTGTTGTTAGCTTCCATTGAGTTGATTCAGACTCATAGCGACCAGTGTGTGCAAAGTAGAACTCCTCCATAGGGTTTCCAAGGCTGTGACCTTTAGGAAGCAGTTCACCAAGCCTTTCTTCTGAGGCACCTCTGGGTGAGTTCAAACTGCCAACCCTTCAGTTAGCAGTCAAGCGCTTAACCATTTGTACTTCCCAGGGAACCAAAGAAACAAACAGGGAATAAGTAGATAAAAATGAAAGGAAAGGTCTCAAGAATACAGGAGTATACATCTTTATCTTTAACACACCACCATGAAACCTCAAAATGGGTATTCTTCCTTCCAGAATGTTCCCTAGTTAATCTAAGTCAGTAGGATTCAACCTCCCTGTGTATCAGAACTACCTAGAGATGCCTGGTTCTGAACACATAACAAATGAAACCAAATTTCTGGGCATAATAACTGGGCATTGGTAGTTTTATAAACTTCCCGAGGTGATTCTGGTGCCCAGGGGTGGCTGTTAAACACTGGATGGTTGTACAGTCAATGGTGAATGGCATTTACCAATTGTCAGCTGCCTGAGGGAAGCAGATGACCTAAGCCAGCTACTCATTCTGAAAGTCTTTACTCTGGGTCTGGAGGATAAGGCTGAATGTCAGGCCTGCTACCCCAGTCGGTACTACACTATCCTGTGGCCTCTGCAAGGGTGCTGGCCTGATGGACCTGGACCAAGGAGAGGAAGTAGAGAAAAAGGGAAATGGGCTGGCCTTCACCAACTACCACCTAAGGACTTCTCATGAGGGGAGGTGATGCATTTTTTTCCAGGAAAAACCAGCTTGAGGTGGTCTTCTGTTACATACAGTCAAGTACATTTTTCCAAATGTGAAGGCTAAAAGGCAGGAGGACTCTGGAGAGAAGCCAATGATTGCGGCACCACGGTCCACAGAAGCCTCGACTAGAAAATCCTGTACTGCAGGCCAGAATTCATCCACTTGTCATTCAGCACATGTTCACTGATGTCTGCTGTGTACCTGGCACTGAGCTCAGTGATGGGGCAATGGAAAAGGTGAATCAGACCCTCCTTCACCTCTGTTAAGGAATCCAGCTCCCTGCCCCCTCAGGGACTTCGCTCGTGTTGGTCCCTCTACCTGGAATGCTGATGCCCATACATCTCCTTTTAACAAACAATTACAACTGTCATAAGGTGAGACTGCATTTACTAGAGTGATGACTGACCTCCTGGGAGGGACCATGTGGATGCAAGGTTAGGGGAGCTGTGTCAGAGGTAGCCATTTAGATGTTTGGGAACAGGGAAACCTCGGGTCTCCATCCAATTCCTCTGATTTATTAATAGTTTATATACACTAAATACATGTGTAGTACTTGCTATGTCTCCAGTTCTAACAGCTTTACAGATACTAGTTCACTTGTTCTAAGAGAAACGTTACTATAAAAATACAACAATAAACTCAAAATAATGGTACTAAGTCCCAGCAAGCTCATGCTGCCTGATTCAAGGCTGTGAGTCTGAGGCTGCTCCCTCTGTTGAAAAGCAAATTAGCAACAGCTATGGGGGAATTAAAGACTCAATACTAAACCAAGACTTTCAATAACAATCAGGAGGCAGGAGAATATCAGGAGAAAAGGAATAGGTTTGTCAGAGTCCATCAACGCCATTTGATGATGTATCTGTGCACCTTCAAAAAACCATGTCCCATACCAGCAGAGATGTGTGTCCCAGGCCTTAGGAAACAAGAGTTCCACGCAGGTACCAGGGAACACAGAAACCTTTTAACCAAGACTGTGTTGCTTAGAAAGATACTGGGTAACACCGACAGCAGAAACCTTCTTGGTGTCTGACTGACTCGCCTCCTTCTTGGAGAACCTCCCATTATCCACAAGTCCTGCTAACTGGGTTATGAGGACATGTGACCCAACCAAGCTGGGCCAATCACCTTCCCTCTTGTGGGAATCTGGAATGAGAACGTCAGGCTGAGGCCATCCTGTGCTGGGCACTGGGGTGAGAGTTTTGAGAAAGACTATTTTTCTTACACAATAACCCCTGATGCAGACTTAGAGTAACCAGACAAGACGAGGTAAGACCAGAACATGCTGGGGCTGCAGGGAGAAGGGACGGCAGGCTTCTGAGGTCTTCTCAACCAGCCGTGCCTAGAGACAGAGGGCAGAATGAGGGGTTGTGGTTATTCTCATGGGAGAATTGAGGCCTTACCCAGTGAAACCAGAAGCCCACAGGTCTCCAGCATCACTTCCTGGTAGAGGATCCTCTGGGCCAGGTCCAGATACTGCCATTCCTCCCCCGTGAAGGTCACGGCCACATCTTCAAATGATACTAGTGCCTGGAGAGTCAAACAGAGGTGGTGGGGTAGGCTGTGGGGCGGCTGGACGAGGTCAGAGCCTATTCCTTGCTCACAGGTAAAGGTCCAGAGACAAGGCCTGAATACCTGAGCACCTCCTAAGAACCTAGGTCTGTGCTGGGCTCAAGGGTAGGCAAAGGCTGCCTTTCACAGAATACAAAGTTGTGGGGGATAAAAGCCTCCTACGTGAGAAGCAGAGCCCTGGTGGCGCAGTGGTTAAGAGCTTGGCTGCTAACCAAAAGGTCGGCAGTTTGAATCCACTAGCTGCTCCTTGGAGACCCTAAGGGGCAGTTCTACTCTGTCCTATAGGGTCACTGTGAGTCGAAATTGACTCAATGGCAATGGGTTTTTTTGGTGGTGGTGGGGGGGTTATGTGAGAAGCCACTGGGGAAGGACACAAGACAATGATAATACTGTGTAGACTATGAGGAGCAGATAGTAAGCGCTCTGGGATGCTTGAGGAATGGTTAAAAAAAAATGATAATAATAGGAACAGCAGCAGCAGTAGGTGAGCCTCCCTGGTCCGTACCATTTACCCGTACCTGACAGTTTTACGCACTGTGTTAAAGTGACTAAAAGTCATCAGGTCTGGAGCCAGGCTCCCAGGGCTTAACTCCAGCCTCTTGAACCAACATATGCCAGATGTGTTACCTTGGGAGAAGTCTCTCAATTTCTTTGAGCTTCAATTTCCACATCAATACAATAATAGCTCCCACTTCACCAAACTGTAAGAGTTAAAATGTTCATAAAGCAAACACTTAGAGAGCGCCCGGATATGTCAGTGCTCAGTGTGGGTTTGCAAACTGTGTCATCTTTCCACAGCCGATGAAGTAAATGCCATCATTCACTTCCATATCACAAACAGCAAATTGAGACTCAGAGAGCTGCATGTCTAATGAGAAGAGCTGAGATTTGAATCCAGGTCCCTCTGGTCCAGGGTCTTCGAACGTAATCCCCCCACCAAAGCAAATCCGCAGTGAAATCGTCTCTACCACCACAGTGAATCCACAGTGAAAAGGACGAGAAACACATCCAGTAATTTTTGCAGTTAAACCCGTTTCAGCCACTCCTGAAAATATTTCCACAGATATGGGCAGAACAGAGCTGTCATCACTCATCCCTCAGGAGAGGCACCTGAAGGGATGCCATCTGCCCGGGGCTCGGCAGGGCTGGAGCCCTCTCGGCTGCATCTGGGACTCGCAGGGAGATTCCACAATGAACCACTAGCCTCTTCTTTTTCTTTGAGCTGCTGTCAAATGCTTCCCAGAGTATTGTTGTTTAAGTACCAGGTAACATGAGTGGCCAGGGACGGGGACAATGGGGGCTATGGCCATGAGAACATGGGCAGCAGCCTCTGGCCACGTCTGTCCTGGGTAAGGATGGGATGAACATTCATCAATCTAGTCTTCTTGGGAACACATCTCAGCAGGTGGTGGGAGCCCCTGGCAAACCTACAGGCTCTCTTGTGCTTCCCTGAACAAGATACTCCACGTGGTTCCCTCTACCTAGGGTGCTCCCCAAATCCCCCCTCGTTCCCATGGCCGCCTGCCAGAGAAAGGCCTGCCTCCACCCTTGCAAACTGTACTTTTGGTGTCAGCCCCAGGGGTCTCCAGCCCACTGTAGATGGTGCTGGCTAAGAATGCAGGCTCTGGTGGTCAATGTTCTGGATGTGAGTTTCCGCTAATTATGAGCTGTGCAAACTTGGACAGGTAACTTAAACTCTCTAAGTCTCCAGTTCCTCTTCTGTAAACAAGCATAATAAAAGAATATAACTTTGAGAAGGTGAGGATTAAATGAGGTAATACGTACAAACTGCTCCTCAGCATATTCCAAGGGCTCAATGAAGACAAGCTGTTACCTGTTGTTTTGTAATTAGCATCTTTCCTATTTGCTTCTGCAGCACCCTGGGAGAACTCAATGCAGCACACATCCAAAGGGTAGCCTTGCAGAGAGCTGGGGACTGTGTCACAGAGAGAAGGAAATGTAAAGGCAAAGGCTGGGAAGCGGGAACAGGAATGGCATGTTCCGGCCAGCCGGACATGAAGGCAGTGAGCAAAAGGAGATCAAAAGGACTGAGGAGGGTGGCTGGGTGTGGACCAGGCAGAGCCTTATCGCCACAGTAGGGGAGTTTGGATTTAATCTAAATATGATGGGAGCACTGAATGGTAGAGTCTTTTATTCATTAACCACTTACTGAGCACCTGATACAGGCCAGGCACTGTTCTAGGCCTGGGGATAGAGTGGAGAACAGGAGCTCATGCCCAGGGTTGGGAACAGATCCTCAATAAGGAACTAAGTACATAAATGAACAAGGTAAAGTCAGATGGCTCTGTTGTCAGCTGCTGTCGAGCTGGCCCCCAATTCACGGCCACCCCACGCACAACAGAATGAAATGCTGCCGGTTCTGTGCTATCTCCACGACTGGCTGCAGATTAGGCCGTTGTGATCCATAGGGTTCTCACTGGCTGATTTTAGTATGGAAGCTCCGCTGAAAGCTGTTCAGCATCATAGCAACACTCAAGCCTCCACTGACAGACAGGTAGTGGGTGCGCATTAGGTGCGCTGGCAGGGGATAAAATCTGAGGAAGGGACGCTGGTATGAGGCTAGAATGAAATGAGGAAGCAAGCCAGGTGAGGAAAAATGAAAATAAATTAAGACAAGTCCTGATGGTGATAAGCCTGACTATGATGAGCATAGACAGGGGGATATACTGAAGAGTAACCAGGGCCTGTTGTGCGTTTATGCCACAAGACACAACATTCTTGTACCCTGTCATTACTGAATATTGTAACGAATTCACTTATCAAATTAAGTCAATGTGTTAAAGAGGAAAATGGATTCACTGCTGTAAGTGGCAAGCCAACTTCACCTGTAATAAACAGATGGTATCTGCAAAGATAAATCCAGTAACCTTGTTTTCTAGCCTGTCCAGGGGCCTTCTACTTCTATCGGTGCAACAGCAGCCATTCCAAAAACACTGCCCCCAACTCACCTTTGTTCCCATGGCTCTCACTTCCTCTCCCAGCTTTCACCTGGGTACAGGCCCGAGGCAGGGAGGCCTGAGAAACAGAATGCCGCTGGGCTAAGCCTCTATGGTAACTGGAGGACCAGGACTGTCCATCCCCAGGTGTTCAGAGTGATGCTCTCTGGCTCGTGCAGAGCAATGCACACACGTCATATGTGTGCCCTTTCCAATCCCCCTAATCCAGACAGAACCGTTAATATTCCCGTTTTAGACTAAAGAGAATGGAGGCCCAGGGCGGCGAGGGTAAAAACTCAAGTTTAGAGCCCGAAACGGGACCTTTCCTCATAACATCTGGTCTAGATTTAGCACTCCGGGCTGGGAGTGATTACCCCTGCCCCTCCTTCCAGGGCCTCCAGATCCAAGGACATCTACAGAGAACGACAAAGATCTACAGGACGCCAAGATCCCCTACAGCACTGCGAGTAGGGCCGCGAGGGCGGGAATCCGAGTAGGCGTGGGCCTGTGGAAAGCTCCACTCACCAGCGCCGGCGCAGCCATGGGACCCTGTGGGCAGAGCGGGACCTGAAAGGCGGCGACAAAACCTGGTCCAGCGGACTCAGCTGACCCCTCACTCCAGCCCTGGAGGGGTGACCTCGAGCCACAGTCTCTGCTGTGCAAAATGCGCACAAGGCCCGGGGCACCGCCTCTAGGAGCCGCCGGTACTCCGGGCGAGTTCGGAGGCGCCCGGCGGACAACCCTGGGGGAGGGGTGTATGTGTCACGGTTGGTACAAAAGCGTGGAGGTATTCTATCTTTTTCTGCTTTATTCCAGAGAGTAGCCAAAAAAAGCAACCTCTACTCCGCGCTTCAGTCCACAAGCCCAGTAAGAACAGAACCGTCACAGGCAAATGACGTCCTACCTCACCGCGGGAAATGCCTCTCTCGTTTCTGTCATGGGCCCAGCGGTGGCCTCTGACCCGCCAGACACTGCCTTATGGGTAATGTAGTTTCTGACCTATATACAGGTGAAACGAGGGAAGCACTTCCTGTCCTCGGAGAAACAATGTACTATAGGGTCGGTACGAGTTGCAATCGATTCGATGGCAAAGGGGTTTGGTTTTTTGCAGGGGTAAGGTTGTCCTGGTGGCCCAGTGGTTAGGCGCTGGGTCGCTAACTGGAAGGTCGGTGGTTCAAACCCACCAGCACTCCTGCGGAGAAAGATGCGGCAGTCGACTCCAGGAAACCCAATGGGGCAGTTGTACCTTGTCCTGTAGAGTCGACTACGAGTTGAAGTCAGAATCGACTGGATGGCAACGGGTTTTAAGCTTGCAAAACCGGAGGCGTGGCTTCTCTTCTTGTAAAGGATGGGTACGCATTACCGTGGTCGCTTGGGCCATGGCTCTACCGGGAAAGTTTCTAACTTGTGACCAATGCCTTGACTTTCCTCCCTGAGGAGCCCTATGTGAGCGCTTCACCTCTCTGAGCCTTAGGGAACTGAGCTTTACAATGAAATATGAAGATAATCCTTTAATTGAGGTACTTTATTTAGTAATATTAAATGTTCCCCTGATCAGTAGTTTCCAAATCACATTGGCATCACCTAGAAATTATTGCAAATTCAAATTCTCAGATTTCATTTGAGACGTACTCAGTCAGGAACTCTGGGCGGAGGCCTGGCACTCTGTGCTTTAACAAACCGTCCAGGGTATTCGGATACTCCAAGTTTAACAACCTGGATTCTAACTTCTAGTGAATAAGTGAGACAAACACTTGGCATTTCTCAAGCTGAAAGAACTAAAGAAAAAATTCAAGCCTCAAGTTGCAATTTTGAAGGATTCTATGGGCAAAATATTGAATGACACAGGAAGCATCAAAAGAAGATGGAAGGAATACACAGGGTCACCGTACCAAAAAGAATTGAAGGTAACATATGATCAAGAACCAATGGTACTGAAGGAAGAAGTCCAAGCTGCATTGAAGGCAAAATGGTGAAAAACAAGGCTCCAAGAATTGACGGCATATCAACTGAGTTCTTTCAACAAACGGATGTAGCTCTCGAAGTGCTCAGTCGTCTATACCAAGAAATTGGGAAGACTCCTACCTGTCCAACTGAATAGAAAAAAATCCATATTTGTGCTCATTCCAAAGAAAAGTGATCCAGTAGAATGCAGAAATTATTGAACAATATCATTACCTTCACATGCAAGTAAAATTTTGCTGATGATAATTCAAAAATGGCTGCAGCAGCATGTGTACAGGGAGCTGTCAGAAATACAGGCTAGATGTCAGATGGATCTTGGCTGAAAGCAGAGAATACCGGAATGATGTTTACCTGTGTTTTACTGACTATGCAAAGGCATTCAGCTGTGTGGATATAAGAAATTATGGATAACATTGTGAAGAACGAGAATTCCAGAATACTTAATTGTACTCATGAAGAACCTGTACATAGACCAAGAGGCAGTCAGTTGTTCACACAGAACAAGGTGATACTGTATGGTTTAAAATTAGGAAAGGTGTGTGTCAGGGCTGTATCCTTTCATCATACTTACTCAGTCTGTATGCTGAGCAAATAATCTGAGAAGCTGGACTATATGAGGAAGAATGGGGCATTAGGATTGGTGGAAGACTCATTAACAACCTGCAATATGCAGGTGAAACAACCTTGCCTGATGAAAGTGAAGAGGACTTGAAGCACTTCCTGATGAAAATCACAGACCACAGTCTTCAGTTATGTATTACACCTCAACATAAAGAAAACAAAAATCCTCACAACTGGACCAGTAAGCAACATCATGATAAATGGACAAAAGATTCGAGTTGTCAAGGATGTCATTTTACATGGATGCACAATCAACACCCATGGAAGCAGCAGTCAAGAAATCAAAAGATGCATTGCATTGGGTAAATATGCTGCAAAAGACCTCTTTAAAGTGTTAAAAAGCAAATATGTCCATTTAAGGGCTAAGGTGCACCTGACCCAAGCCTTGGTGTTTTCAGTCATCTCATATGCATGTGAAAGCTGGACAATGAATAAGGAAGACTGAAGATGAATTGGTGCCTTCGAATTATGGTATTGGCGAAGAATATTGAATATACCATGGACTGCCAAGAGAACAAACAAATCTGCCTTGGAAGAAGTACAACCAGAATGCTCATTAGAAGCAAGGATGGCAAGACTTCGTCTCACATACTTTGGACATGTTATCAGGAGGGACCAGTCCCTGGAGAAGGATGTCATGCTTTGTAGAGTGTCTGCGAAAACGAGGAAGATCTTCAGCCAGATGGATTGACACAGTGGCTGCAGCAGTGGGCTCAAGCATAACAAGGGATTTTTTTTTTTAAGGTGTTTGCTAATTTTTTATTTTTTTATTGTACTTCAGGTGAAGGCTTACAGAACAAATAGTTTCTCCTGAAACAGTAGTACAAATGTTTTTTTTGGTGAAAATACACATAGCCAAAGATACACCATTTCAAAAATTTCTACATGCACATTTCAGTGACATTGACTATGCTCTTCCAATTGTGCTGTTATTCTCACTTAAG